TTTTTTTTTTTTTTTTTTTGTACCGGGGATAGAACTCTGGTCCTTGTGCTTGCCAGGCAGGTGCCAGAACCACTGAGCTAAGTCCCCAGCCCTGAAAGTTTTGAATTACCACATTTGTAGTAAATTACTCGTGCACATTTGAGGCATGTTATTGGCTATGTCCAGGCACATTCCCTGGTCACATGATTTCAGAGACTTGCAGGGAGCTGCCTGTGATTTACAACTGCTGCTCTCTATTTTATAGCCACTGCTGTAGATGAGAGTGGATAGGTGAGGTAGTGAAAGGAACTAGAGACTTTTTCCTTTTTCTCCTCACAGGCATTGGTGGTGTTTGATTTTGTAGACAGTGCACTTTTGTGGGCTTGGTGTTATTTCCCAAAACTCACTAGTAGTTTTTAGTTGACTATCAGGCAACTGCCTTGACTTTCATGGTATCAACAGGAAATACATTCTTCAGCCTCACTGTTTCTGGACCCAGGGGTTCCACATGCAAATCTATCAAGTAGCTACAGAGATACCCAGGGAGATGAAGTTGTATTGAATCAGTCTAGTTGCCATGCTCTGAATAATTCATAGTTATGATAGCCTTAACATTCTCAGAAGGAACCACAGGTGACGCAAGAACAATCCCAGTGAAGAGAGTTTAGGTGAAGCATAATTAGCTTCCTAAATGCAACAATGCTGGACTTTCTTGGTTTGTAATGGCTGATGCTTTGTTGGTCAACAGCTGTTACAGGAGCTCTTCCCAAAATTTTTCTGGAGCTGGGGGACTGAACCTAAGGTTCACATTAAGCTTCACACTCAGCACTCTTTTTGAGACACTGTTTCACTTAGTCGCTAAGCTGGGCTCAAACTTGTCCTTGCCTCAGACTCCTAGAGTGCAGGGAATATAGTCACCGTGGCTGGCTTCTTCCCCAACTTTTAAGGCAGCTTCTGTCCTTAGAAGGAATTTTATATCATAGTCAGGATTTCTTTTCTTTCTCTGTACCTGTATTCTGCAGCACCTGAAATTGTGTGGATACACAGTTCTGCTGCATGCATTTTCTAAGGATAAGGTACAAGATTTTCATGTTTTTCCTAAAGGCTTCTGAGACTCCAAGAAAAGGTGGCAGCCAAATACTTTATGGTCCCTAAGGGCATGTTCACAAGGCTAGAAGCCATTTTTAGGTAGCTGATTTGGAGTAGCAGTCAGAAGTAAGTTATGTTTTCCATTTGTAAGGCAGGAAGGGGATTGGACCATCAGTTTCAAATATTACTTTCTTTGAAACAACTCAAATGTAAATCTGTGCCTAATCACTATACAAGAAAAATATTTAATGTTTGTGTTTTGGTTTTCTTCGTGGGTAAATTGGGCGAGTACATTTTCCTTCAGTGACTGGCATTCTTTTCCTTACATTTCTTCGTTTGGGCCTCAAGCTCACTGGGATTTACAATCTGAAAGAAAAAAGAAACAACAAAAAAAATTCTCTTAAGTAATTAAATTAGCATCACAAACTTCTTGTTAGCAAGTTATGTTTTATGTTCGTCTGGACTTTTTGTTCACTTTCTGTTTGGCAGACCACAGAAAATTTCTGCTTAGAGTCATAGCCTTTCTCCCGTTAGTGTTTGTTCTCAAAGTGAGTGGACTTCATAAACACCGCATTGCCATAGCCTTTGTAGTAAGAGAATCGTTTTACAGCTGTGGAATGCATGTCAAATCAATAGAGCCTCAGTCTCTTTTCTCCCTTGAAAGATATCTTGCATGGAGGGCCCAGGAGTAATGATTCTGGCAGCCATTGCCCATCTTTGAAGAAACTATTAAGCAGGAAAGTTGTTTTATTATTTTCTGTCTAGTACTAACATTCTGAATGGTATAGTTTATTTTAAAAAATCAGTACAAGTTCTTTGAATGTTAATATTACTCTGTAAAAGTTGAAAACTAAGATCGTGTACTTCACATTACGGGATATTTTATGAATAATAATTAGTAGTAGATGTCTCATGTTTTAAAGTATGTTTTAAGTTGGAGAATTATATATGTTTTTGAACATATCTGTGTTAGGAAAAATGAAGTGTATTTTTTTCTTTGCTCTTACACCACAATCAGTGTGGAAAACTTCTGTAACCCCAAAAGCTATATGGATTTCTTCTCTCCAGCATGCAAGCAGATCTGCAGTGGACACCAGTTAGGAGTCCTGTAATTGAATGCACTTCCGACTCTAGATGGAGATAGTGTCAGAGCCTACAATGGGGTATTTAGACCCCACTTCAGACCCAGCTGCAAGTCTGGGCATCCACATCCTATGGCAAGCTACACGTTGGGTTTCCCATAATCCCCTCCTCAGATTCAGTTATTTGCTAGAGTGCCTCACAGAATCCAGGGAAAGTCTGTACTTGAATTTGAAGGACACAAGCACACAGCCAAATGAAGAGGTAGAGAGAGAAGTCTGGAAGTTTCCCGGTGTGGGGCTTCAACCCTGTGGAGTTAAGGTGTGCTCCTGCCTATCAAGTGGCCCCGTTTGCCTTTCTCTGAGCCTCCATGTGTTCAGCTATCTAGCACCTCCCTATTTGAAGTAATTTTTCCAATATAGTACTTATTTATTTTTATGAAAGGAATGGTCCAAAAGGATATTCATGATTTGTTTGTTTATTGCTTCTTGATTTCATATTTTAAAGCATGCCAATTTAGTGGTTTTCAAACTTATCAATATTAATAGTTTAAGAGCAATACATTTGTGAATTAAAGTAATTTTCTTTGTAGAGATAGTGTATAAAATGTTTCCTGTCCTTATTTTGCTCCTACCTTTTTTTAACAGTGTACCTATGATATGTTTTAGAAATAGTCTTAAACTTTGGTTTGAAAGAAGAATGTCTGTCAGTCCATCTGCATTTCTTAAAAAAAATGAAGAAAATAATACAGAATTTGTGGAAACAAAACAATCACAAGCTACTTTCATAGCTCCAGAAGATCCTCTTCAAAACTTATGCTTAGCATCTCAAGAAATTCTTCAAAAAGCTCAGCAAAGTGGGAGGTCAAAATGTCTCAGATGTGGCGGCTCAAGGATGTTCTACTGCTATACATGTTGTGTCCCAGTTGAAAATGTACCTGTTGAACAGATTCCACTTGTGAAGGTTGGTAAGAACTTGGTTCAAAAATAGCAAAATAGATGGGTCTCACTGTGTAGTTGAGACTGACCTGGAACTCACAACGGAGCCCAGGTTGGTCTCAAACTCGCAGCAATCCTCCTGCCTCAGCCTCCCGAGTGCTGGAATTATAGGTGTGCACCACCACGCCTGCCATGAAAATAGATTTTGAAAAGATATTTCACACATGCCTGTTCTAATATAATTAATGAGCTTGATAAATTATGAAAATGAATTGTCTTAGTGAGGAATTCAGTCCTACAGGTTCCTAATCCTGTTTCTTTTTCTTGTCTCTGGAAAAACACTTGAGTCTGAAATGGTTGGTATTGTCAGTGAAATTAAATATAATAGTTATAACATTTACAAGGTAGGAAACAAATTGTGATATAAACACAAATACTAAAAGGACAAGTTCATAAACTTACTCAAAGTTTCGAAACCTGCCTCAGATTGTTCAGTCGCCCTGAAGAAACACTCTGGCCTAATCAAACTTGTGTTCCTTTTCACCTAGGATTTTTCAGCTTAGCTCCATCCTATGTGTAAAAATGGAGCAAAAGGCTACGTATTAAACACGTCCCCTCAAATTTTAAATTTTGATCTAGGGAATACATAAATATTTACATTTTTAATGCAGATTACAAATTTCTTAAACCAATGAAAAATGCATTTAAAAAGATAAATAGAATTCTTAGGGTTGCTTAAAAGGGGGAGAAAAGAATCAGATGGTATACAAATTCAATTTTATTAGACTCCAGGTTCAAAAGATTACTTTATAAGGTTTTCTTTGCTATTTTTTTGGAAAGATGATAATCACAAGGAAAAAATACTTGGGTCTCCCTGCTAATAGGACTTTCGTATATGTGGCAGAAAGGTCTGTAGTAAATCTCTTATAGAAAATATAAATGTTAGAAGACAGATTGATATTCTTAACATTTCGAAAATAACACCTCTATTCCAACTGCCTTCTCTAACTTAACATTTTTAAAGTGTACCTTCCTGTAAAAATGTATGAACTAGAGTGCATATTTCCTTAATTTGCTCTGTTTCTGTGCTTTGGTTTCATGTTATCAGAAATCTCAGGCCTACTCAATTAGAGAACTCAGGCTCACAGATTTTGCATAATTATTTTATACTTGAAGATGGTAATCCATATACCTTTCCCCTCTTATTGTGTTATTTTAAAAATAGTCGAAGTACATGATTTATACAATTCATTAAAAACAGTCCTGTGTTCTTGATCTAAATTATATCCTTCAGAATAGCCAAGATATTAGTTCGTGATAGCTTTTGGAATTTTTATCCTATTCCTCATCCATATAAGAAAGTCAGTTTTATTTGTAATAGGACACTTTGTCATCACCTGCTTCCTCTTTTCTTTCCTCTTTCCCACTTCTGGGATAAGATAATGCTCACCTGGTACTCAGAAACTGTACACTTCAAATATGTGTACTTTTAAACACAGAAAAAGAATGTTGTATTCCGTGGTAAAATAATAGTGTTCCTCGGGGTGAATTGTTAGACTCCTGCCTCCTTGGTGTCTAATGGGGGGTCTGGAGATTGTGGAGAACAAAGTCTGTTAAGTCTAAAATGAAGAACTCAGGAGGTGGCTTCTTTACAGTGGGAGAGATGACTCAGTTTTCATTTTCATAATCATGGCTGAATACAGGACTTGTACGGGCTTTAGAAACAGTGTTAAACCAAATAAATGAAATAATAGAAAAATCTAGTTCGAGAAGTTCAGGAGAGTATTATTTTTGCACAAAGGCATTATATAATCTTTAACAAATAATGAACATTAAGGAAAATATTTGGGCGAGTTAATTTTGAAGAAAGTTATTTGTAGATAGATTACACCTCTTAGACCTATGCTATTGCTATTTTCCTAGTTGGTAGTTGTTTAATTTGTGCTGTTAAATGTGCTGCTGAATGTCATAATATTCATAACAAAGGACAATACTTCTGATCTGAAAGGATGTGGAACAGAATTGCAACTTAAATTCTAGGTCTGAAATTCTAGGTACTCAAACTTGAATTTCCTTTTGAAGTAGCACAAAATAAACCTAGAGTTTATAGGAACTATAAAACAGGTTGTTGGCATAGATTTTGAAATTTGAAGATGTGGACTCAAAACCAATATAACCTAAATGAAAATAATACTGGATCTTTGTTTAAGAGCAGATTATACGTTGTTAAAAATAATTGTTCTAGTTCATGGCTAACAGAATCGAGTAAGAAATGTGGGCTTGCTTTAGGACTTCTACCGTTCTTTATATTCCATGCTAGAAAACTGACTTTAAACTGTCTTTATAGGAACTTATTGTGAGCTTGCTATTTAGCTTTAAAGGCTATTTTTATTAAATGCAGATTATAAATCTTACATTTGTTTCATTCATCTTTCTTTACTTTAGCTCCCTCTGAAGATTGACATCATTAAACATCCAAATGAAACAGATGGCAAAAGCACTGCTATCCACGCAAAACTCTTAGCACCTGAATTTGTAAACATTTACACATACCCTTGTATTCCAGAATATGAAGAAAAGGATCATGAAGTAGGCAGATTTTTTATAAGTCTTCAAAATGAATATACAAATAGATTTCTAGCTCTGTTTCCTCTCTTAATTTGCTTGGATATAATTTAATATTTTTTTAATGATCTAGTGTTATGCTCAATAACAATCAATATGCATGTTCATTGATATTTTCAAGGTCAAATCCTAAATTATTTTATTTATTTATTTAATTTTTTTTTCAGTACTGGGGATTGAACTCAGGATCTTGCGAGGCAGGCCAGAGAACCACTGAGCTAAATCCCCAGCCCTGATTCTAAATTTTAATACTTTTCTTCTTATGCTAATTTTTAGTAGTTTTCCTGCTTTGTTTTTTCAGTTTTATTCTTTGCCGGTATTACTTTGCCTGCCTTTTCTTTCTCCCCTCACCATGCTCTTTCCTGTACTATGCATAGATGGTCTAATTTGATACAACCTGGGAAGCCAAATTCGAAATGTTGTTGGAATGTCTCCATAAGGAGTAAATAAAGACTGAGTTAGAAGGATTTTCAAATCCTCCTTAAATTGAAAGCATTAACACATAGCCTTTGTAATATTTCTTTTGACTACCTAGATGTCTTGTTCATTTCTACAATCTTAATTGATTTTCATGTAGTTGAAATTGTCACATGAGTGAGATATTCCTGGTCTTCTGGTAAAAAATCAGGCCTTGGGTGCTTCTAAAGAAGTGTATACACCCTTTTAGGTTTCACAAAGACTGTTTGTAGGTGTGGTTAATGTAGAAACAAAATTAAAAATTAATATTCATTTGTTATGGAAGGAACTTGGTAAAGTTTTTACTTCCCTATCAGATTTCTGCCTGCCTGACTACCTGTCTGTATAACTGAATTTATTTAGAAAGTTGTGTTTGGAAATGATACCTGAGTTTTGGATCTAGGAAAATACTTGTGTTTCCTGTTCAGCTAGATACTCTTTATATTGATTAAATAGAACTGTATTGCACTGCTTAACCCTGCTATCTGTAAGGGCAAGGATCATGTTCTTGCCTCTTCATAAAATGCTATTTTTTTTTTAATTCAAGGTATTATTAATGTTGCCCTGTCAGTGAGTAGCATATTTTGAAGTAATATTTTAAGTAGTGTATTATGATTATAAATGATAAGGGAAGAGCCAAAATCTTTACCATACATATCGGAAAACCATATGTAATAGAACTAACCTAATGTTTACTTCTCAGCTGTTCAACATAGTTTTTCCTTTAAGTTTTTAGTCAGTCAGAATTTATGTTGAAAATCACATAAAGTAATAGCATATGGCTAACCTGACTTTCTTTGTTTTAGGTTGCACTCATTTTTCCTGGCCCTCAGTCCATCTCAATAAAAGATATTTCTTTTCATCTGCAAAAAAGGATTCAAAATAAAGGCAAAACTGATGACCCCAAGAGGCCATCTTTTAAGCACAAGAAAACAGAAGAATGGGAGAGCTGTGATTTGAATGACAGCAAGTGCAAAGGCCCAACCCTGAGAAAAGTGATCTTTATAGATAGCACCTGGAAGCAGACGAACAAGATCATCACCGATGAGCGGCTCCAGGGTAAGAGAGATGATTCGTCTTGTTCTTAAAATGTCAGACTTGCAGACATTGAAAGAGTTGCATTAAATGTCAGTGTTTGCCACATTTGTTTTATTTCTTTCTGTGTTTTATGTCTATATATGGATTTCTATAATATATGTATTTTTAGTTGCACCTTTCGAAGTGGCAGGCTTTGCAACACTTCACCTTAAATACTTAAGTATGCATCTTGGAGAATGAGAATATTCACTTCCATAATTAATACAATGCCTTTATCACCCTTAAGAAAATCAACAAAACTCTATAATATCCTCTCATATGCAGTCTGTATTCAGATATCCCTAGTTGACCCCAAAATATCTTTTGTAATCCCCCATGCATCATTTAAACTCAGGTTCCATTTGGTTATTCTGTCCCTTTAGTCTCCTTTAAGACAGTTTCCTCAATCTGTTTTTTGTGACTTAGATGTTGTGAGGAGGACAGGTTAGCTGTCTGACTATCTTATCATGATTAGGTGCAGTTTAAATATTAAATATTTATAAGTAAGGACAAATCCAGCGTTGTTTGTGCCCATTCCAGATTTTATTTACTGTTTTGGTATAATTATTAATAGTATGTCCTTTTCACTGTCAGAACAAACCTTTTTAGCTGCTCATTTGAATGGTTTGGCAACTCATACATGAAGTTGTATATTGTTGCCTTAAAACCAGAAATATTAATACAAGTTGTCTTATTTTTTGTGATCATTGACTACTCGATGAAATTGACTGTTGGATCTCTGCATGATAAAGTTTTATTTTTCTGTTTATAATAGTAATCTGTGGAGTGATGCTTTCAGGCTATAGACTTTTTCAATATTTTTAGTATTCATTGATGATGGTTTTGAAGTCAGTGACACTGAGAATTGAAAGATGGGGAAATTTTATATTGTTTCTTCTACCTGTATGAACTGGCCATCTTTTTTTTCGAGACAGAGTCTTGCCATGCTGCCCAGTCTGGTCTTAGGGACGTCCGAGTAGCAACAGGCACCACACCACCTTGTCTAACTAGCTGGCATTCTTGTATAGGTTTCCTTTTTTTCCCTGTTCTCTTTTTCTTTCACTCCACACCTCCTTTTCATTTTGGGGGTTTTTGAGATGGGTTTTTCACTACGCAGCATAGGCTGGCCACAAAATCCTAATCCTCCCACCTCAGTCTACTATGTAGCTGGGATTATAGCTGTTTGCTACTGTGACCAGCATACGAAGCTTTTTGAAATGACTTACTTTCTTTATACTTTAATATACTGTAATCTACCATGGTTGAAATCGTTTTGATGCTCAAATTGTCTCAGATTATTGCCACTGGGAATGCTTCAAGATCTTCCTGCCACGGCCTCATGACATTATGATACAACAGAATATCTCAAATCAAAAATAGAATTGACCATTTTTCTAAAAACCTGTGGTTCCGTTCAGTAGAAAACGATATCAGAAATTAAGATCTGGTAAATTTATCACTGTGTTGGATTGTCATTGCTTCATTGGACAGAGCCAAGAAAAATAAATAGATGTATGAATTCACATGGATGCTCCCTATTCAGATTTAATATTACAGGAATTTTCTTTCATTTTAAATTTGTATCTCTTTCTCAGAGTGAACCACTTAGTTCCTAGGAACAGTTTTAATGCAGTTATTCTCCTTGTTCAACACAGTAATATGAAGAACAGGCGCTCGTACTGCCTCTGTTCCCTCATACCTTACAGCTCTTCAGACTTTCTTAGTATTTCTCTAAGTGCTTCAGTTATTTCTTCTGCTAGCTTTGTTTGGTATGATTAGAAGGCAAGAGAGCTACCCAGTTGATATTAAGCAGTTGCCAAAAGTTCCGCCTAGCAGTCTAAGGACTATTGTTAGAAAAGAACATCATCTAGAAAAGACACTTCGTGCCTTTCTGGTGTCTGATTTGTGTTAATCAGTCCCAAGCTAAACTGTATGAAGGCACTCACTACATTTAATCAGCTTAAGTCACAGAGTTTGTGCCCCTGAGATGTCCTTAAGTGTTACAAAGGTTGCTTGGCAACCCAGTTGTCTCTGTGTGCTTGTGAGAGGTGGGGGGGGCACTGCAGAGCATAGACCTTTAAAGTTTTGCTGTTGTTGATGTTTTAATAGAGACAAACCCTGAGGTTCTGTTCTCTGAAAGAGGGAAGGGGCGCCCTGCCTGACACGTTTTCTTGAATGTTTATAGCAAGTTACTGCCCAGTTTGGAGATTTTTCTGGGTCGCTTTTCTTCATTATTACCTTTTATGGTAATCTCAAGGATCAGATGAAAGGAAATAAGTGAAAAATCATTGAAAAAACTAAAAAAGGAATTATTTTGGCACTATTGAAAGTCTGTTGCCTACAGTCAGATTTTTACAGATTTCTGTTCCTCCTTCCAAGTTCATGTAGGAAACATATAGTTCAGTTCTGCACTAGGTTACAGTTTTTAAAAAGGGTTTCTGAATCTGTTTAGGATCCTGCAATAGTTCTAGAGGCAGCTTATCTGCATGTCCCTGCCTCTCTAGCTCCTCGCTGCTCTCAGGAAATAACAGGGGCTTTGTGCATGTGTGTGACTGCTATCTGTGTGAATTGTCAGTTTCTGGATAAACCAAATTTCACAAGAAACAATCCGTGTTTGTTATAAATCAGTGGCTTTAGGTTTTAAAACATTTTATCATTTGAGAGGGCTAAAGAGAAAAACTAAACCTCATTTTAAACCTTCAAATGTAATGCATTAGGAGTTGTGTATCTGTGGTTCTATTCAACAGTGTAAAACTGTACTATTTTGATAAACTTTATTGAGAAAATAGCTTGATATTTTACCAGTGTCACAATACAACACAGGAAGGTGGAGTGCCAGGTTTAATCCTAGAAGGTCAGCCTAACACTGTAAGTGTGGAGAGATTATCATGGGAAGCTTTGGGAAAATGCTGCAAAAAGTTGGCTTCCTTCTGTGGGAAGAGTTCCAAATTGTTAAAAATGATGTTATCCTATGAGATGCTATAGAACTATCCGGTTCTTTCCCCTTTGGCTATGTTGGTACACCCATTAGAGTGGTGCTTTTGTTCATATCATCAGCATTACCTAGGCTTTACTCACACTGTCTGTAAGTTCTGTCTCATACACGTTTATTTTTACATCCTGATAAACCTACCATAAGTGGGAAGTGCATCTCACACATGTAACTCCCAGAACATCCTCTTGCAGCAGTGCAGTACACAGTAGACATCAGCTGTTATCTTCCTGACCTCATGGCTGATCACGAGCTGGTGTCTCTTACCCTGCCCAGCATGTGCAGAGAGCCACTGCCCATCTGCAGCTGAGGGGGAGAGGAGGGCTGGAGGACAGTTCCTGCGGAGTGTGCCTCTCCTTCGTTCCCTTGAAAACTGGAACATCCTGTGTCGGGATGTCTGCACGGTCTCGTTCAGTCTTCCTAATAACTGTATGAGGGTGGGCTTTTTGTTTTGTTAAAGAAATACATATAGCAATGTTAGAGGAAATAAACTGCTTGTAAGTCTGCTTTAAAAGATACTGATTGCTTGATACACTAGCAAGAGATTTGTTTTACATTGTATATATTGAACTATTAATAATTTTATATAATCCAGGGTCTGTATTTCAGTATTTTTAAATGCTGAAATTTAGCAGATCTTTAAAATAGATTCCATTACTAGTAATAATCACTAAATCATCTTTTTGCCTGAGGTACTAGGCATTGAACTGAGAGCGTCACACTGAGATACATCCCAGACCTTTTGTTTTTGCTTTTTAATTTTGGGACGGGGTCTCCCTAAGTCATCAAGTTACTCAGGCTGAGCTCAAATTGTAATTCTACATCAGCCTCCCAAAGTGCACCACCATATCTGGTTTAAATTCTTCATTTTATAGTTAACATTTAACAAATATTTTTAAGGAACATATTAACATTAGAGAAGCCAACACATTTTGACAGTTACTTTTAATTTGGATTTTATGCTAAAATTCTATGTTGAGATTTTAATTGTATCAGATAAATAAGTTTTTAAAAAACTTTAGCGAAGCTGGGATTTAGCTCAGTGGTGCTGCTGTCTGCCTCGCAAGCACAAGGTCCAGAGTTTGATCCCTGGTACCAAAAACAAAAACAAAATAAAAAACTTTAGAAAAAAGTACATACCAGCATCTAATCATTGTCACTGTTGAGAAAGAGAATCAGATTAGGATTTGTAAAGGGGATTACCAAAAGGGAGTTTTACTTTATGTGTATTGTTTTTATCTTTTATAATGAGAACATATTTTTGTGTGACATGGGAATTAAAAAGTATATTAAAAATAACTGGGGAAAGAAGCTTTCGTTTAAGCCAGAAAAATAAATTGTTTAACCCAATAATCCCTTTTTTTCTAGAAACACAAGATCTATAGCAAAAAATGTATTTCAACATTTCTGTATATTTAGAGACTATCAGTAAAATTAAACTGAAAAATAAATAATCATGAAGTGAAATAAAAAGCTTAATTGAACTAAGTACTTAGAACATTTTCAAATATCTGTCTTTACCTCTGGTTGTAATTAATGAGTGGTTTAAAAGGACTTTGTTTTGGTTTTGGGTGTTGTAATGATTGTTGGTCTTTGAATCAGAATTATGCAAATTGAAATGTTTTCAGAATAGCTAACTATACTATTTTAAACAAGCTTTTGTGATCTGTCCATTCCATTATAAATTTCTTTCATGTGGATACTAATTTTAAATTGTAATATAATATCTCCCCACATAACACAACAAAACAAAACATATCTTTGTGTGTTTAGTGCTAGAACTAGGCCTGGAAATGAGATCCCAGTCCAGTTCTTTTCATTAAATTTAAATCTAATTGTGCTAAAAACAGGTTTAAAATTCTTTTAATGATGGCACAGCCCCCATGCATAAATATAGAACAAATTACTAGGCCTGACATTCAAAGGTAGTCATAATTTCAATTCCTCTGATCTCTTCTAACATTCTCGTATGTATAATTCTAGGTATTTTAACTATTTTAGTTTCTTGCATGCAAAGGGATTTTTCATACCCTTATGAATATAACACTCCCTTGGCCTCTGATGCCTCCCTCACCTCTTTATCCATTAGGGTTTAATTGGAGATAGAAACCCTCTGAGAAACTTGTACAGACTCCAGGAATCTTCTCAGTGCTGCTGCTATACCCCAGACCTATTGAATTTTCTTGTCTGTTTATCTGTGTTTCCCATATAGATTATGTGGCAGAAAATGCGCACAGTACTTCTTAACATCCATTCTCTTTTTTGCTCCTATTAGCAAATACCGATTTTGGTCAATGTGGTATGTGTCCAGCTAAAAACAGTAGTCCATACTTCCTTATAGCCAGGATCACCGTGTGAATCATAGCAGAGAAAAACTAGGTTCTATGGGCAAAACCTGCAAGAGTCATTGTTTTCCATTTGTCTATTTGTGTTTGTTTTTTTGTCTTGCCTGGAATATGTGGAGGCTGAAGGTGATGATGAGGAAACGGTAGTCTTGGGTCCTTAATAGCTCTGTGAAGCCCTTATAGCAGCCCAGGTGCCTCATCTGTGGACTTGCATGTGTTACGTGAAATTGCTACTCGTTCAAAAGGGCCTAACTAGGATTCTCTTGGTGCAGCTGAACACAACTCTAACTGGCAGCTACTGTGATCAACCAGATGGCAGAGATTCTGCCTTATTCTGCTTATATTGCTTTATGGTAACTTCGGAGGGAAAAATTTTTAGTGTAAAATTTATCTGTCTTTATGTTTAGTCCTTTTATATCTTGTTTAAATCTTTATCCACCTCAAGAAACCATGCTTTGCATACTTGTTTATAGATGTTTTTGTTTTGCATTTCTGTGTAAATGTCAGTTGTATTTCTGGCTTTCCACTTTTTATACATCTTATTTTATTCTTGTTACTTTGTAAACTAAGACCTCCAATGTAATATTGAATGGAAATCAGTCCTCATGTTTTAATCTGATAATGTTTTTTAAATGGCAGTTTTATTTATATTTGCCTCAATATTGATATATTTGGATTTATTTTGACCATTTTAATTTTTATTTCTATTTGTCCTGTTTTTCTTTACACTATTTTTCTCTTACTGTTTTTTCTTTGATTGAATGGAGGTTCTCTTATTTTTTAATATTCTGATATAGATTCTTTTAGAGAATAGTGTATATGGTACTTCAGAATTTTCAAAACCATACAATATTTTAACCTGTCTTTTTGAGCACTGTAAGAACATAGTACGCTTAGGTTTTGTTCAGCACTGGTCCACAGTGTTATTGGTACTATTCATTACATCTGTTCTATTCTGTCAGCCCAGAAGTTAGTAATATTATTATTTTTCAATTTTTTATGAAAAAATAAAATAATGAGAATAACAATTTAATATACTGTGTCAGATATTATTTTTGTTTTATATAGGTAATATTTATTTGGACTTGCGTAGCTGTTTACTATTTTATTTGCTCAATAGTCTTTTATTTCACAGTGTTTGCCAAATTATAGCCTGGAGGAATTTCTTTAATTGGGTTTCTTGTTGGCACATATCCAGTTTTTGTTAATTTTTTAATTCTTTCCTTGATAAATTATTTCTGCCAGGTACACAATTTTAGACTGCAAGTCACTTTTTTGATACTTTGAAGATATTATTCCAGGATCTTCAACATTCTGTTGTTGCTAATGAAAAGTTTCCTGTCATTTTACTTATCATTCCCTTGTATAGGATCATCCCTTTTCATTACTTTTAAAGTCTTTTCTTTATCCTTGGTATTTTACAGTTATACTACTATGAGTCTAGGCTCTTATTTCTTTATATTCATTCTGTTTCATATACATTATGTTTCATGTATGTATATATGGATCTCATTTTTAAAAATAATTCCTGGAAAAAAAGTTCCTGGATAAGTCCATAGCCATTATCCCTTTAAATGCTTTCTGTTCCATTCTCTGCTCTTCTTTCTTCAGACTCCTATTTGCCATTTGATCCTTCATATCTCTTAATAGCTTAATATTTCTTATTTATTTCTTGTCACCTTTTGCTGCATCTCGGAAGTAGCTTTCAGGTCACAGTGAGACATGATAGTAGGATATCATTGATGACTTAGAGGTTCCAGATTGGCCAGTAGGCCAAATTTGATGCTACCTTCTGTCTTTTCTCACTTTAAAATATGCTAAAATAAATGGCAGATAACGATGGTGTGCTAGAGTACTGCTCCAAGGAGTGAAAAGTGTTCTGGGCTTGTATGCTGATATCTGAGCTGTAAAAGATAAGAGTGCTGCTTCCTTAATTATTTGCTCCTAAATGTACAAGCACAAGGCCTAGTTGAGCATATAATTGAGGCTGTGTGGTGTCCTGTGGGAGAGCTGAAGCCATATTTCCAGATACTTTGTGAAGATTTAGCCTGAAAATGACAATCTAGAAGTACATTTTCCCTGGCATTAAGGACCAGTAAGCTGTCAGTCTCTCTCTGAGTTTCATTGTGACATTTTAACTACAAATCAGTTTGTCAAGGACATGCCACCCTTTAAACAACTGGTGACTTAAGTCTTGTCACAAATTATAAATTGAAAAGACACTGGTAAATAGGAAATAGAAAGAAATGAATGTTTTAAATGTTAACTACTTTTAATCTTTTGCTGCAAAGTCTAAGATCTAGAAGTAACTCATGAATAAGTTATCAGTCTGTGTCATATGTTATTTCTATACATACCTTAATGGATTTAAAATAATATCCTGTTTGGATTTGGGATTGTGGGAATTTATCTGTGCTTCTTTTTAAAAAATAGTTGAAATAATGAAAATGTATCATTATTATTGTACTGTACTCTGTGGTTAAGTATTTATATTTTTCCTTTATTTTTCTTTTGTTTTTCTTTCTTTTTTTTTTTTGGCAGGGTTGTTACAAGTTGAGTTGAAAACACGAAAAACGTGCTTTTGGCGCCATCAAAAAGGAAAGCCAGATACTTTCCTTTCTACAATTGAAGCCATTTACTACTTTCTAGTAGACTACCATACTGATATATTAAAAGAGAAATATAAAGGACAGTATGACAATCTTTTATTTTTCTATTCGTTTATGTACCAGTTAATAAAAAATGCCAAATATGCCGGAACTAATCAAACAACAAAACTTACCCGTTAGTTGTTTATAAGCCACCTGTCATTGTATTCTGCTAAAATTAATAAACTTATACTTGTGCTTTTTGTTTATTCTTGGGAAATAATTGTGTGTAATACCCGCAAGACCTCTTGAAAAAATTCCAGTTTTATTTGCTTTACCTCATATTTTTAAAAAGGAAATTATATCTGGGGCAAGCTTCAGAGTTATTATTCATTGAAAAACTTATTTTGGAAGCTGTCTGCTTAATTTGCTTAACTGGTAGTTCTCAGCTTTAGTTATATAAATGTGCAGTTGCAAATAGTTTTAATGGTACAATTTAATATGTGTTTTATCTATATGATTATAGTTAGATGTTTGTATAGATATCTTTGAATCCTTTCATTCACACTCACCACCACCTTTGGATGTGGATGAGGTCAGAATCAGAATCTTTGTGTGGAAGAAAAATCATTTATATGTGCTTTCCTTGAGGTTAGGAATAATACATAGGCAGAACTAGAATGAGATGTTTAGTTTCTAGTGCCCTTTCTCTAGGCTGGCCCAGGCTGTGATGGACACTTACTGCCTTTTACATCTGCCTGGCATCTCTTTTAGAGGAAAATTGTTACTGGTTATGTTTTCCCGCCATGGGGATGTACATATGACCTAGGTGAGCAAACTCAGGGCCCAAGTACATCCTGGACACTGTGACTGATACAGGGCTGAGCACCTGACCCAACAGTACCAGGGTCCCTTGTGATACATGTTTTGACACCTGTAGGAGATGGGGTTATTTTTCAGAAAGCAGTGTGATACAGTGGTTACAGACACAGACTCTGGAGCTAGATCTCTGAATCTAACTCTGACCTTTCCTTTTCCGTTTATCAACCATATGTCAGATTTTTCACTTGCAAATACAGTAGTTCCTTTATTGGATGATTATGAGGAATAGCTGATTGTGTATAAGGGCCTTTTAGCAGTGCCTAGTTGGATTTCTTTGGACCAAATGTGGACTTCCTGAGCTAAAATCTAATGCCATTTAACTGGATCTACAAGCCAAGTAAACAAAAGAAATAGGAAAAGAAGGGAGAAGAATAAGCTCATCTCACAGCTGGCAAAAGAAAAATGATGCTCACAGTCCAGAGAGGGTAATTTATAAGTAAATTGTAGTTATTTTACTGGATAATGGTGAGGAATAACTGACTGTGTGTAAGGGCCTTTCAGCAGCACCTAGAGTGTAAGTGGGATTTGTGTGTTTACCCTTTTCACGATTTGGAATTGTGAATAAAGAATGATGTAAGCCTGGAGCTTCTACTGAAAACAGCCAGTCTTAGAATGGATTCAGAAAAGCAAAGAGCAGAAAGACAAAAAGAGAGCCCTGCTGACATTAGTTAATCATGCAGATGTGGCTGCTGGTGAATGGAGCCCTGCTAGGCTGGGTTGGCCCCTCCGGCCCCGCCCCTCCCTCTTCCATTCTGTGCTCAGCTCTGTGAGATAGGTCCTTGCCCTCTGGCTTTTCTTCTGATTCAACAAATCGGAAACATCGGCAGCAGATTGGCAGTTGAGAGGAAGAATGAAGTCCTGTGTTCCCCTGGCTCCTGCCCTGCCATGGATTGGCTACGTCCCTCTCTAGAATGCTGTCCTAGCAGGTATCCTTTCCCTCCCTCTGTGCCCATTTTCTGCTTACAGGTAATGGGTTTGTGTTAGTTACTCTTCTCTCACTGGTGAGACAAAATACCAGACACCCACAGTTAAAGGGGGAGGGGTTTATGTGGCTTACAGTTTGTAGAGGTTTCAGTCCATAATCAGCAGGCTCCAAGTCAGGGATGACAAACAGGCCTGGCAGAGCAGGACCAACATGGTGCACACAAGGCAGCAAAGGTAACAAGAGGGAAGGTTGACAGCATCTGTGCCCCTTCTGTTCAGACTACTTAGGGCAGGTGGCAGTCACACCCTTAATCCTAGTGCCTTTGAGCCTAGCATTGCATCATGAATCAATTCCAGCTTCACCCTCTAGATTAATCCTATGACCACGTGAGGCTTTGGGGGAACATCTAGACCCAAACCATAACATGCCACCTGTAACACATTGCTTTATGCAAAAGGCATTTAGTCCATCTCTAAGAATTGCCAAAATCCTAACAATTTCAGCATTGCTAAAAGTCCCTGTCTAAAGTCCCCTCTGAAATTTAAGGCAAACTCTTAGCTGCAAGCCCTTGTACAAATGAAAAGAAGGTTAAGCACTTCCAACATTTAGTCGCACAAGATAGGCATTACCATTCCAAAAGGTACAAGCAGTAGGATACAAAGGAATGGGACTGATATAAGTCCAAAATCCAGCAGGCCAAACATCACATTCTACAGTTCCACTTTCACAATTCAAGGCAATCTGTGGCAAGATGTGGCCTGGGTGACTTTGCCCCTAAGGCACTTCTGGTGGCTGTAGCTCCCATGGCTTCTCTCTTGGGCTGGCTCTGCTACCTCTTTGCAGTTTTCCTCAGATGATCCATGCTCCTGGCTTCTCCAAACTTCTGGGGTCTCTACTGCATCTTTGGCTTCACACTCACAGCTTTACACATTGCCCTCAGGGACACCCCGCCTGGCCTCCCTTCTGAAGTCTGGGTGGAAGCCTCCTTGATCCCACAACTTTTGCATTCTGCTTGCACCTAAAACCAGCGCTGTACAGATGATGCCAAGGTCTGCTGTCAACTAGAGCAGTAGCCAGTCTTCCTTCTCTCTTGGCTGGAGGGGTCAAGTGCCTGGATCACTGAGTACTCTGAACCCAATCCAAGGAACAAATTTTCTGGACCACCATTTTGGAAAACGTTCCTTAGGCCACCGCCGTGTTGGAACAACTTCCCTAGGCTGCCACCATTCTAGAACATGGTATTATGGGTCTTTCTTCTCAAATCAAAATCTTTTTTTTTTTTTTTTTCTGACACAGAGTTTATTACAGTCAGGGGACGGCTACACACCTTGAACCCAGACAGTGTGCGGCCAAGGACACCCATGTGACTCCTGCGGGGCAGGCGCAGCTACAGGACTGCAGACTGGGTGCTCAGAGGGTCCCCCTACAGCCGCCATCCTCCTCCTCGGCGCTGTTGGGGTCCACTCTGCATCCCCCAGGTGCACAGGCCGGGCCAGCAAGGCTCCCAGCAGATGCCACAAGGCTGGGCGGGCCGCCCACAAAATCTCCCAATTCTAAAATTCTCAAGATGCTTTATTTCCGAAACAGGTCACAACACTCAACTTTCAGCCCACACTGCCGCCGCACAAGCTACAAACGCTTGCCTGGCAGTTGCGGGTCTTCTTTAGTGGCGTGTTCTGGAAGTGTTCCTATGGAAACTATTTGAGTATTTGTTTTATATGGATTTTTATTCGCTTTCAAATCAGAATCTTTCACCTTTATAACTCTAAGACTGCAAAGTGGAGCCCTCCTGCTTCCTGTGATACCCTCAGGCCATTTTCTCTATTCTGTTTCTTCTCAGCAATCAAGATCTCTGCTCTATCTCTGTAGTCCACAGCTTTACTGCAGCTTCCTTTCTGGCCCCACTCAAAATGTTTTAAATCATTCTGCTGGGCTTTTTTGCTCTTGATTCTCCACATAGGTCTGTCTAAAACCCCCCAACAGTAGGCATGCCACTGCCTCAGTATTCAACTGCCTTGAAATCTCTCTGCAAGATTAATTAGTCCACCACCCCTAATCTCAGTCTCAGGCAAAGTCTCTGGACATGAGCAAAACGCAGACAAACTTTGTGCCAAGCCATAACACATCATTTAGAGTCCAACAGCGAATGCAGTCCTTCCATAGCAGGAACCTCCCTAGCATTTTTTTTCTTTGACAACTTTTTATTGCTACCAGAGGCTTTTGTCATCGGTATATGGTTCTGACTGCAATACTTTCTTCAGACTGCAAAGGGAGCTCAGGATCCAAGTCATTAAGGGAAATACAGGCAGGTTGTGAGACATGGGGTAATTTTGATCAGAAAATCGTTACAGACTCAAATCATAGAGCTGCCCCGACATCTAGACAGATCTCTGCTGCTTACAAATGAGTAGAAACAGATCAGTTACAAAAATCGAATGATGTTACCTACAGGTTTCTTTGGTGAGTACCTGGATATATTAACTTAGTCACAAATTCTTTTATACAAATGGGCAAAAAGACTTTCAACAAATCTAAGTATTCTCGTTACATGACATTTTAAAGTTTCAGATAAAGCCATAATTTTATTTTTAAACTCTAAAAATCGAAATGAGAAACAAAATCACTGTGGTAATGTGAGAACTTTTCCTATTACCACCTCTGATTCATCCGGACAATTCCAAAGTACACTTTCCGCACTAATTGGAATCTAAACCATGGATTAAACATGGCTGCCACACTAATTCTGCTTTTAAAAAAAACTTGTGTGGGGGTTCCTATTCGGTGGAAGTCAGAGAACACAGATCGACATACATAAAATATATGAAATATTCAGTGAAGCAAGCAAAAGCAAGAGGAAAATGGGATTCTGGGGGTGGGGGAGTTGACATCAGTGAATTTTTTCCAGATACTGTAATTTTTTGATATGGGACAAGCTACATTTTAGCAAAGAAAAGAGCAGAACTGACATACAGCAAAGAAATTTGCTTTTTAAAAATGTTTTGGCCTTTAGCTTTGTGGTCTTCTGAGCTCTGACCAGAATCTCCCATACAGATTTCCCATACAGAAAAGCCTAAGGTGTTCCAGCCCTACTTCTTCAGCTGGTAGCTCCGAATCTTCCAGCAGAGTCTCTGAACACGAGGAAAATTCAGTCAAACTTTCTGTCAAGCCATAGCACATATCTTCTAGAGTCCAGCAGCCAAGTAGTCCTTCCCAGCAGAAACCTCCTGAGCCTGGTCTCTACTGGCTTCCTGGTCTCCTGAGCTCTGACCAGAATCTCCCACACAAAACAGCATAAAGCATTCCAGAGCTGGATCTTTCCTAACTCTTTTCCTTCCCACAAGCCAATTCCAAAGGCATTTATTTGAGCCACATGGCCAGGCAATGTCATAGCAACGACCCCACTCTTGGCGCCAAATTTCTGTGTTACTTTTCTCTCA